CATTGTAACACATAATCACTGATGTGCCGCTGTAACGGTGGTGGACTCATCAGAACAGAGTGGGCGAGCTGACCAATCAGAGCACAGTGCATAGTACACATACTATACAGAGATGCTGTATGAGAAACCAATGTGAGTTTGGAAAATTGAACAATGTAAATCTATTCTAGAAGACCTCAACAATGGAATTATGATCAGTAGAAATGGCTATGACATGGGACCTTTAACATCTTTTAGGAGTACCTGCACGGTCAGCGCTGCATCCATGGCAACGTGGGATCTCGCAGCGTACTGGTTGGTGGAGATCTGACAGCAAAGCTCTGGGGATTTGGCTCGGCCTACCGCAGGAGAACACAGGCCGTTTCACCGGGGGAAGTCGGGGACATTGAGATGAGGAAGTGGCAGGCACCTGAAGTGCTGGGCGGAAAGGCTGACAGTCAGAGCAGTGACATGTGAGTGGCCAATTAATAAAGATATGATATTTCTTTGATTGAAAACTCAAACCGGGTTGGGTCAAATATGTTTTTATCATCTGATTAACATTTCTGTTGCAAAATACATTTTACTCTACAATTTGTCTGCTTTCAATGTCTTAACCATACATATTTGCAACTCATAGGAGATTTCAAAAAGTATTAATTGCTATGCAAATTTGAACTTAAATACCGTTTCTTGTTTCTAAGATTCTATTCCTTTTTCCAACAGTTGGTCCTTTGGTATCCTGCTTTACGAAATGGTCACACTGGGTGAGTCTAAATTCTAGATAAACCAAGATAATTGTTTTCTTTGTAAATCATAGATAAGGACTGCATAATATTAAGTCAAATGTTGGAATTGGAAGATTATAGTTACCTGCATAGAATTAATATGAATTGCCTTTTATACAACAAGGGTGAGTTAATTATGGACCAATACTTTATACAATACAACCGAAATTTGTTTTAAATGTAGATGAACATTTCCTCAACTTGTATGACTCCTAACATTATAGTTTAGTTTAAAGTACATTTAGTGCCAGAGCTAAAGGACATTCATCTAATTTGTAATTCTCTGTTACACAGGTGACCCACCGTTTGCTGAATACAGGGCAACCGAACTTCTGCAGTATCTACAAAGGGGAAAGCATCTCAAACGGCCGACCACTTGCTCCAACTCACTGTAAGACAAACAGAAGAAAGATACCAACTTTGCACACAAATAGCCCCACTAATTATGCATGTTAATCAGCGGATAGATAAAGCATGTCGATTGCTCAACACAAAGGCACAAAAGCTCACACGATGCTGTTAATAATTGATGGATCTGAATTTCCAACATTCCTAAAGCACTACATCTGACTTTAAAAATGCATTCATATTGAAACCCAATTAATACATTTCATGGAAGACCTTTGAATAAAGAATCAAATACATTAAAAAGCTAATTTCTTAACATAATGTTTTATATTCACTTTGAATTGAAACTATGGTGTCTTTTTCCCTATGCTTGAAGATATTATTTTTCTCAATGGGACTATAGGCCTATTGGTTAAATGAAATAACTAATACAGAAGGTAGGAATTTATTACGCTCACTAGGCTGATAACATATTTAAACAATTGTATGTACTTTTTCTATAGTGAGTTCATAGTGTTCTGGGTGTCAATTTTAAATATAAAAAACTGTATAGTATAAAAAGCTGGTATTACATTTCAACATAGGCGTCATATACTGCGGACGTTGGGGAAATGTTTCCCCCACCACTTTGCATTAGGATAATTGGTTAAAAATGTTCTGAAAAAAGCATGCACAAAGAATTGTACACGTTTGAGAAGGTTTATTTGCACAAGAGAATATCTATCAATCTGGAGGACTGTTCACACGTTTTGGGTGTATTTCTGGTAACCCAAGTGCGACAAGTTTAATATATGAGTACTAATAATTGAATAGAAGACACTGTTTCCCACAGAATTTGATTCTATTTGTGGGGGCACCGCACCCCCCCAAAGCCAAAGGCCCCTTAACCTATTCGGGTGGTCCATGCATCCACCCCCCGCCACAAATAAATCAATGTATGGGAAACACTGGAAGAAGTTACTTGAACTGAAAAACTTTAGCAACACCAATTATTATAAAGTAGCCCTTAACTGCGAACTGCAACCATAATATAAATAAATATAAAACGAAATTTCAAAAATAGCTGAACATATAACATGTATATTTAGCCAAGATAGAATCAACTGCATAACTGTTGTAATGAATTGCATTGGTATGAACCAGACTGTATATATGGTATGAACAGGTGTTATTAATTAGCCACTGATTGTAAATCAACTTAGCTTAAGTTAGCTAACAAGCCAGTTAGCCTGCTAGCTACTTTAACCCACTCACCTACTATAAGGTCCAAAGAAAACAAGTTTGAACATTCAATTTAAATACATTTGTATGGAGACGTTATATCTCGTTAGCATGTGCATGCACTGAACTTGACCGATAAACCCTGAGCTGCTATTTCAAACAGCCTACGACGATACGTTACTGGCTGCGAGTGCGAGCGACACAGCAATAATATGTTGTCATAACAATCTTACTATGTTTCTTATATAAGAAGAGATACATAGGCTTATAGGTATTTTTTGCAGGGTTTTTAGCATAGATTGTATAAGGTTTTTAGGTTACAATGTTATGACCTTTTACCCTATTTTGTAGGTACTCCATCATAAAGAACTGCAGCCATTGGCGCCCCGAACACCGTCTGTCAACGTCGGAGCTCATTAGAACACTTCAGTCAGGAGAGAAATCAGCCAATGGGAGGAAAGTTCTCAAAGTGACTCAACCACTGGATATCGAGAAGTACCTAAGGGAGGCGGGATATGGAGAGGCGTATGACTTCGCTGTGCTATGATTGGATGGGGCGGTTGTTACACCCAGGACTACTGGAAAATGGAAGAATTTATAAAATATCATTTTCTCAGAGAAATGCACCTTGTTTGTGAAACACACCTTTGTGTTTGATATATCTGTTTGCAATATTGGAACACTTAAAAACGTTATATGTTTGAATAGTAATATATGGATTGTAAATATGTCTCTTTCTGTAAACTATAACTTATGTAATGACTAATGTTATGAAAGAAAACAATACATGTTTGCTGCACTTTTCACTGAAACAACATGTTTTGTATGTATACAGCTTCTCAGAAGCTATACAAAGATGAGTGGGGTGCACTTAACTGCTGTGTGATGTCTACTTTATTAAAACACTGCATTATTTTAAAACCAATAATTATATTTATAAAATAAATAAGAAATAGGCTTTTGTAAACCTCATACATGCAAGAAAGACTTTCACTATATTCTGCAGTGTAACACTATATACTGGCCCTAAATGTAACATTTTAAAAGCCTGCAGCAACATTGACTAAAGACAGAAGACAAAGGAAATAGTTAACTTGAGAAATGGCAAAGCTGAAAATCTGGTTTGCTTAAAATACCCTTGCCACATTAAACTGGAATGTGAGACGGGGAAGCGCATGTTCCAAGCTATCCATGCAAATTAAAAACATAAAACAAGAGTCTATTAGCCCTGAGGATTAGGTGACATAAAAACACAGATGTGACAGTTTTAGAACAGTTCCTTGGTTATTTATTTGCATGATGGTTTTGTTAGCTTCTCTTTTTCAAACTCAGTCCCTCCAGGAATTTGCAGTTTTTCTGATTATTGCAAGCAAAAACATTTTGATCCTGAAATAGCCTCTATAAAAAGAAAAAGCTTTTTGCAGAAACCTATGTCATTTTGTGAGAAAAGTGCTACTTTTTGGGAAAACAATGATTGAATAAACAAAACTGCAATGGTCTGCTTATTCACAAATGTTACACCGGTAATCATCGCAGACCTCCAATAATTTGACTAAGAAATTGTGGCTCCAATCACTTGCAAAGCAGGCGATTTATTTTTTGGTCATCACAATATGCCGAAGGATCTGCTGATTTAAACACTTAAAAATCCAGAGAAAACTATGAAATATAAAACACAGCTATCAAAGATTATTATCCTTTTTTAAAGAAAATACTGTAATATCCACAGTCACTAACATAAAGCCAAAGATAGCTAGCTAGAAAGGTAAATACTGTTGGTAGTTACACGCTATTTGACAAAGCTATGAGTAAGACAGCAAGTTTCCTTGATCAAGGTAGCTACCATTCAGTCACGCTTTTTGGGAAAGGCAACAGATGTCATTGCTTGAAATAACAATCGTAAAAAAGTAAGCACTAATATAAAACAAGGAATGATATGAAAAGCAGTTAAAAAAACAGACAATCCTCATCTAAACCTAGTGTAGAGACTAGTGAGAAAGGCCACAAGGTTCACAGAGATAACATGAGAAAAGTCCTAGAGTGAAAAGCTTAAACAAGGCAGTCCAGCAAACAAATGTGCATTTAAATATAAAGGCAATTTTTACACTTATTACAGTAACGTTTTTTTTCCCATTCACACACTCACTCATTCAGGTATGATTTCTTCTTCATCCACATGTGGCTACAAGCCTACTCTTCTTTAAGAATCTTCTGGCTTTGTTCATGAATGCAGGTTAAAGAAACTTCAAATCAACAGCTTATTTAACAGTTTACATCTGTCGGTTACTTTCATTATTTATCTTTTACAGCTTTTCTCTTTTCAATTTCACAAATTCAAGCCCATGACGTTACCCTTCCGTCATACAGACACGTCTGTAGAGATCTGAAGCAGGCGGTTAAACCATTTCAAAAAGCAACAAACTTTAAATGCGAGAATACAGTCTCAGATTTTGGATTTCCTTTGGACTCATTGGACAGTACCCTGTACTGTACATGTACCCTGTAAACTGTAGAATAGGCCACTCCAAAAATAAAAATGCCACAATTTAAAAATGGTGATAGCTACACTTGGATAATGATTACAGTTTTGAAAGTACTAGTTTTTATAAATAACACAGAGCTATGAAAGGTCTAAGCGCTTCCCTAAACAAACGTAAGTACAAGTAAAATAATCAAATGTCCTCTTTGAGATGCTCACTCATTGCAACGTTTAGGGTAGATTTGAATTAAATATGGCGTGTTTGTTTACTGAAGTTCTGTTCCAATGCAATGCTGATTGTGGCTTTAATAAATGGTCATTAAAAAAAAGAAGTTTTTTCATAAAGGAGAACCAACAATGTTCTCAGAGGCAAGAAAAACGACACAGGTCTGTAAAAAATAATGTTCCTGTACAATATGACATAATGACTACTGACTTCTGCATTGAAATACATTCAAACACCTTCATTGTACAATGCAGATATTAGACTGAAATTGTGCAACAAAAAAGCAAAAAGCAAACCACTTGATAAAAACAATCTCTGCACTGGTTTCGCAAAGCAATAGCATTTTACGACACATTTAACCTCACCAAAATAAAGTTGGCTTTCTGTAGTATTTTTGAAACTCACAAACATGACAGACAACATAACAATACTTCTGTGCTAGTACGACCTTCGAAAATGTGCTCCAGATCAGACAAGTCCACAACAGATTTCAAGTGCAGCGGCTGGATACAAAAAGGCCTTTGTTTTGAAAATGAAGTTTCATATCTTAACTGGGCCTGGAAAAGGAGTTTAGGGTAAATGCCCAGGGCTTGATTTTGAACAGGGTGGATTTATGGAAACACTGACATCAGTCTCTCAGGGTGTTGATGTGAGCGCAGATCTTCAGGGCGGGACCTAGCTTGATGTTCATGGTGGACATGAGGTGCTCCTCCTTCAGCAGCAGCAGGGCCTGTCCGTCAATCTCCTGTGACAGGAACTGGGTGGCGTGCTCCTCACAGCCTGAGAAGAGGAGAAAGAACAATATAAATAGAGAAAGAAATATTGGGAAGGTAGACAAGAGGAAACAGAGAGAAGAAAGAAAGTAATAATAGCATTAAGGTTGTTGTAATTAAAAGAGGAACAAAAAAATGTGAAAAATACAGATCATTAAGCAGAATACACAACATCTTAGCAACATGGCTGCAGAGTTTTTTGAAACACTGATTATTTGTGTCAATTATAATCTATATTCCTTGGTCACAATTATAGTAAAAAAATAAGTGGTTTTTGACCCCGATTTTTTTTTTTTTAAATCATTGATATTTAGTTTCCCACCAGAGAGATTCAACAATCCATCCTAAATAGGAAGTATGTTAATAAGGAGAACAATGACACAGGAGGGGCAACATCAATTATTATCAGTCTCTTAAATGTAATTTCCTTCCAACCTTGTAGTGAGGAAATAAACTGTGACACTTCCTCCACCCCCCACTGGGCGGGGCTGGCACGCAGGCAGCTGGGATCAGAAGTCTCCGTAGGGAGTGGGGGAGGCGGCTGGTGGCAGGAGGCGGAGGAGGCGGGAGAGAGGGACATGGGGTCATCTTCATCCTCCTCACCACTGGACTCCTCGTCTGAATGGCTGGACTCTGAACGGCACTGTGAGGAGGAGAGGCAGAGGAACCCGCGAGCAAGGCATTACAAAAATGTCTTCTGTGTGACAGTGGAAGCTTTAGGTTGCACTGGATTGTTCCCCAGTGTATCCATGTGACTCAATGCATGAACGAACCTATAAAAAGTAACATTTTAGAATAAAAATGATAAAGTATCATCATTGAGATTAAATTCCCTCTGCTTGGCAGTATCACAGAGACACTAGGTGAAAATGAATCCTAGTTGGGTTGGTAATGCAGTGCCTATTGCAGCCACTTGGGGGCGGACATGCTTAACATGGTGCAGTGGTGACATTTTTGTAGAAAGAGCCAGAAGTTAGCATCACAAGGCTGCCTCAAAAAAGCAATGGGATTTTTCCATTGGATTTTGTAACACTGCATAAAATAAGACCTGCAGCTAGCACACATTTGTGATACGTACACGTTTTGTGCAGAAGGATAATCTCTGCATATTAACCCCACTTTTATGATTAAAAAAAGGCTAACTCTAGGCTAAACTTAAACTTAATCAAGGTTACATGCCTGAGCATCACCACCGCTAAGCTAAAGGCGGCTAGTGTTCGGTGTGAAGACGTTTAGAAACCTTATTTAGTCACTTGATAGCAATTGCTGTTTTTATGACACACAAAAGCCTCGGACACTCACAAGTGGAATATTTAATGACGTATTTACTATTGTAGAACCAAAACAAGTGATCTGGGAACCAGATGTGTTCAAATACTGAATCATTTAAGGGTTTTAGGAAATTCCTGTACCACTTTATTGCTTTCCATCTTAAAATATTCTAAGCTCCCTGTCTAAGTCACAAGCTGAGGCTGTTTTATAAATCATATTTATGTGTTCTGGTTGTGTTGTGGTTTTAAGGCAGTTTTATGGCTCTCTATGTGGTTTAAAGTGTATAGGTGTTGCATGGATTAAAAACAACTTTTTGAATTTCATTTCTTCACATCATGTATGAAATATGTGAAGTTCTTTCTCACCTTAACAGGTATAGGTCTTCCTGCTATCTTGGCACTGGCTATTTCTGAACTTGTTCTGCGGGGGACTCTCCGCCTTGCAACCCCCCCCTCCTCGTCGGAGTTGGAGAATTGACCTTGGTCATGATCTGGAGCATGACCTTGACTCTGCCGCACGCAGAAGTGCTGCCTGAAGCTGACGTTGTACCTGGGGAACCAATACATACTGTATCGTAGACAAAGAGTGACATATACGGTACTGAAGCCAAGACGAGCAACACATACAGTTTTTTGACTCTTTGCACCATACACGTATATAATCTACACACATGTAGTGGGCAAAGAGACAAATGCAAAGCAGAAGCAAAGAATGTACAATCATATGCTCACAGCATACAGTTAAACAATGCAGCAAGTGCATTGTTTGTATTGTCGAACATGTACAACAATCAGGTTTGGGCAGAAGTTTGACATGAAAACAAACATGTTTATATGCCAATTTTGTAGAATAAAGATGAATTGGGACATACATCAAGGAATTTAAACAAAAGAACAAACACAAGAAAAGAAAACGTACATGCTGTGTATTAAACAGCTGAAGCCACCTGAGAATCACACACTGTTTTCTTAATCCTCAATTTGTATTTTGTTTTGTATTTTAACTATTCAAAATGTGACACAAGGCTACAGTGGTTCTCAGCAGCACAGTGTGTTTTTTCTCATATGGCTTCCACTGCATATATTATATTTCATGCATGTTGAAGTACCTCTTGGCACAAGACAT